GTGCGTGATAAGATCTGAATTGGTCTGATTAGTTTTTCCACTCAGCCCGATCATTAATGATTTTATTCTTACCTCTTCTCTCAGTTTACAAAGGCCCATCCCATATACAACTCTCATATATGTAATCAAAAAGGATAAATAATTAAAAAAATAAGCCGTTTAATGCCATTTCAGTTACTCATTTAGCGAGTAAACATTTTTCCCCCCGTACTTTCAGTTTTTCACTTTGACTTAATGCGGTAAGTATGTACATAGAATTTATGGCATACTTGCCTTTCGCCCCAAAAACAAGTCTCTTCCCATTAATATTAAAACGGCGATAGGTAAGCAGCTGAGAAAAATGGAAATAAAACGTCGGCCTACTAAATACAAAAATTGGGGCTCATGCTGGCTTATTTGCATCTTTTACAGGTATACAATATAGTGATAAAACAGAGAAATGAAGAAAAATAATAAAAATAGATAAGAGCACTAATTGTTTACAAAATGCTTTTAACTCTACCACCCCTTTTATTACATTATTCCATTAAATTGAATTCGGATTATTTAGATTTATTGAAATTCCTAATTTTTAGTGGATTATTGTGTTCGCAACCTGGTTTCTAAGCTGTAGGGTGGTAAATTGACTTTATGTCTACAAGAATCGCGAATTCTTCTGGCTGACTCTTCCTGCTTCGTCACTATCCCCTGAAGAAAAGGTGATGGATGGTTTTCCTCTGCTCTCGCATATTGGGCCATGGCGACCTGGAGACAGCGAATCCATACAGTGACCACGTTAGCAACTGCAACAGCCCTCCAATTCGAAGGTGTATCGGGAATGTGCTCTGCTTCCATACCGTGAGGTCCGTGCCAGCGTCGCCCCGGTACGGGATGTCTGCAAAGTGATGAATGCAAGGGTTTTTTTCGCTGAGTTTCCCGCAGCCGACCCTTTCTTCTTACTTTATATAACCAGCCCATTCCCTCTCCTTCCTTCCCTTTCTCTCCATACCCAAGATGGATTCTTTTGTCCGAGCACAAATAAGACACATGCGAACCCTTTTCTTCAGCTAACTGTTTGCTCAGGTTGGCTGGGTATAGTGGCACTACGGGACGCAGTACCCAGACGGGCTGTTTTTGATCCCCTTTCGTGTAGATTTCAAGGCCGACAGGCAGACCGGCATTTCGGCTGTAGAGAGATCGGACGCGAGAAATTTGGCTCACGGGTAGGCTTTCCCAATTACCGTTTGTGAGCAATTCCTTCAAGCTACACTAAAGCGGTAAAATCATGAGGTGCTTTGAATAAAAAATGATAAAATTGTAAGTATTCAAATATAATATCATATCCTAAGGAAAATTTCTCTGTTAGTGCTTACCCTGAACTGATTAGATGCCATGAAATATTGGAATATGGGCACAATCTAAAAGAAGTATTTCAAGACAGTCTGCTTCTGATTTAAGAATATTCACTTAAACATTGTGCGCAGCCTAAATTTTATATTACTCTGATGTTATGACTTTTATCTGAGCGATCAGTTGTATAATTATGGATTATTAATTAGTATAGCAGTTGGAGCAAGAGTAATTGGGTAATTCTGCCTGATAACTGCGCCGTATCTTGTAGCGTGAAAGTTGAATAGAAAAACTATACATGGGTAAACACCA